AGCTTCCTACGACTGTTATGTGCAATTTGTTTTGTTCTGTTTCTATGGTATCATTTGTTTATGTTCTTAAAGGTGTTGTAAGACACTCTGTGTAACAATTGATTAACAAGTTGAAATGGTGATGGTGGTGATAATTTCAAAACAAATATTTATCTGAGTGTACATTTATATCTATATAAAACTATATCTATATACAAAACTCAGGCTCATGAGCTCCCCATCTTCTCTAGCACCACCACAAAGAAGAGATTGGATGCTTTTGTTTCTGTTTCTATCTATCCACTCTTTGCCATTGTGTCCAAACCCTGACAAACTGTGGTTATTCTTAACTATGGCTTATGGAAACAAAGCCAGCGTCAAACAGTAGTATGGAAGTAGGGCTCTTACGTTACACAAAACTATAGTTTAGCATTATCTCATAACTTGTGTAGCTCATGTCTGGGTTTCATCATTCAGTCTCATTGTCAGCTACTGTGAAAGAGAAATACCTGCATGGGAAATAACTCTGCAGTTCCCTCTAATCTTATCATTCAACCTTATTACCAGTAAACCTCCATCTGTTTACAGATGTTAACACTGTGGATATAAGACTGGCCCATGTATATCAAAATGTCAATGAATTAACCAGATCTCTAGTGTATTTAAGTGTGGAGATAAAAGGGAGGGAAAGGGATAGCATATTGTTGTTGAGTATACATATAATCATACTATATTCATACTGTTTCTGTGTGAGAACTGTCATGGAATGCAACTTTTTAGACCAGGTGTGGGGAAACCTTTGGCCCCCCAGATGTTGCTGAAGTACAACTCCCATCAGCATCCACAAGCATGGCTATTTCCCAGGGATTATGGGAGCTGTACGTCAGCAACATCTGGAAAGCCAAAGGTTTCCCGCAGCTGATCTAAACAATGACCTAAATATTTTATAGCCTAACTTATGCATGAAGAAATCCAACTGTATGAGAAATCCAAATGTAAAAAGATAAGATATATTTTATAATTTGCATATATATATATATATATATATATATATATATATATATATAAAAATGAAGGATGCTCCTTCAACATGTGTCTGGGCAGATCCAGAACATCTTCCATTTTTGTACTAAGAGCCCAGGCACCTTGATCTAATTTGTAAGTGTTTGTTAACAGAGTCAATTTCTATTTATTTCGCTTGAATGGTTCCTTATGGACCCAGACACCCAATCAACACCAAGCTTAGTTAATTGGCTTCACTAGAATAAAAAAAAAAGTAATTTAGCAGAATCAACAGCTAAAACAGAGATGCAAAATGAAATCCAAAGTTAATCAATTTCAACAAGGAAGAGAGAAATCGTTTAGACCATAGGAGCTCTGCAATCCTATAACCTCCAGAGCATGAACAAATCATGATCAAAATGAGGGCCCTGAACTCAGCTTAGATTGTCTTTTATAAAGGTATCCACATTCAGCAGATAAAGAAGAGCACATACCGTATTTTTCGCCCTATAGGACGCACTTTTTCCCCTCCAAAAATGAAAGGGAAATGTGTGTGCGTCCTATGGGGTGAATGCAGGCTTTCACTGAAGCCTGGAGAGCGAGAGGGGTCGGTCCTGCAACAGCTGCAGCAAAACTTCTGCCAAGTGTATTACTCTGCTTTCCTTTGGTCCACAGCAGCAAGACCAAGTGGGTGGTCATGTCATCTGAGCAGCCCAAGACCTCCATACACACTGCCCAGGCTTGTGTCCCAAAGAGCTCACTTTGGTGTTGCTAATGCAGCAAAAACAATACAGGTGGCAGCAGTTACTGGTTTCTGCAGCCACAGCAGGCACCAGCAGTTTGACTTCACTCCCAGAGGCACATGCCATTGTCACCTGAGACAGACAGATGCCAAAAACAGCTGCAACAACTACTTGCACATGAGCTAATAATAAATAATAATAATAATAATAATAATAATAATAATAATAATAATAATAATAATAATAATAATAATAATAATTTATTATTTGCACCCTGGCCATCTGGCTGAATTTCTCCAGACACTCTGGGCATTACAGCATTAAATATTAAAAACTTCCCTAAACATAGGATAGCTGCTTATTTCCTTGACATTTGATGGGAGGGCGTTCCACAGGGCGGGCGCCACTACTGAGAAGGCCCTCTGTCTGGTTCCCTGTAACCTCACTTCTCGCAATGAGGGAACAGCCAGAAGCCACACCTGAATTTCCTAATTTATCACCTCATATTTATGGTAAGTAAGGAAAACCACGTGTATTTGAAGAGGGATACCTAATTGTGGCCAGTAGTGGTAGGCACAAATGATGAACAAAGTGTCAAAATACCACCTAGATGATTTATCAAAATTACACCTGAAGGACAGGCATTCAGGTGCACTTAGAGGAATGAAGTTACATACAGGAAAAAATGTATGTAACTAATGATCTGAAACCTGAGTATATTCAGCCTTGCTCTCTTTCCTATTACCTTTTAATATTAAAATAAAGCCCCTATGCTCCAACTTACATTTATACCATTAAGCTGACTAACATATGAATTATTCTAGCAGGTGGGCTTGTGTGGTTTTAAGAGCAATGCAACACAATCAACTGCATAATATCATATTTCCAGGACAGAAAAGGCCCAAGCAAGCCTAATTTTAACATTAAACTACTCAAGTTCCCATAGGGACCATTATTTCGTTTGACCCCAAGAATTAATTGAAGCCTTAAAACAAAATAGATTACCTATTTAATGCAGCTGAGTTGGACTTTAGCCTTTGTATGGCATGTCCGAATGCCAAGCCAATTAATCTGTGTTACCCTTATACTTTCTTCTTAAAATGAAGTGCCAAAAAAGGAAAACATACACCAAACAAACACTTCATGCAATCTTAAAAAATTAGACTGATAATCATTTTAAATCATACTAATTCTCCCTTTTGAAAGTGAAATGAAAAGACTGATAAATTGTTTTCCTTTGGTAAAGGGCCAAACATATGGTTTCCTTAGTTTGAATCAAGCACACCTGGCCAAATAAATCACACCAATACTGAAAACCAAATTTATTTCACAATTTCATATACGATGCACATTCTGGGTAGACAATGCAAGAACGACCATGATACCAATAAGTAGAAGAGAGAACTAAACTGTCAACTTTAAACCTGAAGGCTAAAAATGTCAATCTACAGTAAAAGTAGCAACATTTTTAAAGTAGGAACCAGCTGGCCAGACCAGTGAGACAAAAGCCACTGGGCATATTCCTTGAAATTCATGGAAAACAGATGGTACAAGTGACTTAATATTAACAATTTAGCACTAAATTGTTAATAATAGGTCTAACTGGAATTCTTGTTCTTTGAAAGCACCAAACACATTGTAATCAAAGAGTTAAACAGACCCACTATTTGAACTTTTATTTTTGCATGAAACCTTAGTTCAAATAAAATACAACACCCATGAGCATTTATCTTCTCAAGCTTAGAATTGTCCAAAGCTTTCTACAGGGAGTTAGTTCAACTACCTTACTGTGTAGTGAGCAAGGAAGAAGAAGAAGAGATTTGTGGGGCCATGTGCAAGCCTAGCTTCAGCCCTTTTCAATAATTATGGTAAGTGGAAGTACGAATAATTTGTTTGTCCCTTTCCCAGTTTGTTTAGAAGAAGTCGGTTCAGGGAATCTAGTCAATGTACAATGGCAGCTACCTAGAACATTAAATCTCAAGTCCTGAAGATCACACCTGACTAAGAATAACCTTGCTATATTAAAATATATAGTTCTTTAGGTTCTTTGTCACAAGAAAATAAAATGAATGTCCAACTTGCATAATACAAACCCTTTTCAGACATTCAGCTGAATGTAGGTTGTGGGCACTATGGGATCATGGTCACAAGCAGTTTGCTGACTAAACACACACATTTGCAGATATAAACAGAGCCATATGGTAGCCAGAAGATTATGATGGTTTTATATCAACTGGTTGCCCATCTGTGTGCTAATCCTGACAAACTCCTTACTAGTCTAGGTCAGGACCAAGGGAAAGACTGCTTTAAGCCCATAGGAACTTACCAAGCCCTTCAATAGCTTTGGGTGCCCTGTTTCCATGGGCTGTAGACTGGAAGAAAGGTCTTGGGCAAGGAGCAAACTATTAAATGCAAGCTCGCTCTTCCGAGGCGATTGGCCCAAAGCAGGCCACATGGGGAGGAAGAAATGCCCCCTCACCCTCCAAAGAAAGCCACATGAGACTTCCTTCCTCCTTGGGGTGGAGAAAACCCAACCACACAAATGAAAGTAAGGTGTGACCTTTTCAGTGGTGGTAGTGGTAGTGGGACAATTCTGGAGATTCCCTCTTGGGAAGATCCAGCAGGCCCTCTTTTTTTAATCACTTCTAGATATGATCTTAAGATTATTTTATTTCAACAGGCATTCAGAGTTTGAAATTTGTCTTGCCTGATTCATCTGCTACTGCTTTTTTAGTCTGAGTTTTACGTATTGATCTTTTGTTGCTTTAAATTGGTTTTATTGACTGTACAGCACTTTGGATACACAAATATAGGAAAGTGGTTTATACATAATCTAAAATTAAAAAAACAGTGCAGACATCTAGGCTTCTCTCTGTCTGATCAAGGAGCCTGGTACCTCCCCCCCCCAAAAAAACCACCTTCTGTGGAAGACATTACACACATACATTTGTACACATGTATGGGTCTAGTTGCCCATGTGAATGTACATTCATAGGTCATCGGGGATGAGGTCTGTTTCCATAATCCTCGTCTATGAACTTTGAAAGTATGAAGAGGGAATAATACATTCCCTAAACTTAAAAAAAATTAATTTAACAGAAAAACAGAAATTTGTACCGTGGGCAGAACAATAAGGCCTCAGTGTCTCATATATAATGGCCAATATAAATAATCTTGAATGAAACTGCAGGAATCGAATGGGGAGTTACAAATAATCTAATCACCTTGATGGTGAAAATGCTGAATTTTCTTTTCAAATGTTTGCTTTGTACTCACCCATCATGTTATATAAACTTTGTGGTGCAAACTGCCTTGGCATTTTCTGTATTGCTTCTTTGTAAACTGTAAGGGCATCCTGGGAGGAGGGAGAGAGAAAGAAAGAAATGTTCTTATTAGAGAATTCAGAAGCAATTTCTACATGCAAATTTAATACAAGAAAGATGCAATTGTCTTCATTAATCATGAAGAGGGTCACATTTCCCACTTATAAAAAAGTCAACAAAAAAGATGAGTCTCTTCAACGCAATGCAGAATAATTTTCATCATTTCCCATCTCATTTGAAGAAGGGGAAATGGAATATTTAAGAACTTCCAAAGGCTCATTAGCTTACATTTAAAATTCTGTAGAATTACACAATATACAAATTAGGATTTAACTACAGACAAGTATTTTTATTATCGTGTGATTCAAATGCTCACAATGATAGCTCTCAATCTACTATAAACACAAATCACTGTTACAATCTGTATTGTTTCATACAAAAGGCTGGAAGAATATGAAGGACAACTGATTTATGCAGAATGCATAAAATACAAGCAGCTTTGCATTGAGGCTTATTCAGCTGGGCTACCTTAGCCCAAGCATAAACATACAAAAACCACAGGACAAGGGTCAAAGCTCACTAGGGAGCTTAGCGATAGAGAAACTCCTTTGCATGCAGAAAGCCCCCAGTTCCTGGCATCTCCACATGGGGCTTGAAAAGACTCCTGTCTAAAACCCTGGAGAACTGCTGTCAGTCAGTGCAAAGAGTATTGAAACAGATGCAGGACCTGCCTGCTCATAAGGCTCAATGAGGCAGTCACCTCAAGTAGCAGGCTGGGGACAACAGGGAGGTGCCATTTGCTGCCTCCTGCACTTGTCACCCTCTGCCGCCTCCTTCACCACCACTCCTCCTGCCTGCTCCTCTCTGGCCTCCTTTATTCTCCCCCGCTGCATTTAGCATGCCAGGGCTTCCCTGGGCCACCTCCAGTAACGTCAGGCAGTGGTGGAGGTGGAGAGATGGAGCAGGTGTGTGTGCATTTTCTAGCCCTGGTTGGATGGACCCATGAGTATAAGGGTATAAAGCAGCTTCCTATGTTCCAATGGTTGTTCACAGTTTATTTATTGAAATTGCTTGAAATTTAAGTTCCTTCTCACAGAATGACACCCTCCCATACCCTTTGCAGATCTCTAGAAGTATCATGCTGGGTTCAAAGCCATGTTCTCACAAATAAAAATTCTGCCTTCCCTGTGCTGCCTCACGGAAGGCTCCAAACCTTCAGGAAATGCAAAGGTGGAACACTGCTAAGCACAGCTCTGGCCTCAACCAATTGGTTTTTAAGCAACTATTATAATGAAGCTTGTGAAGGTATCTAACATGGTTGTGGAAGAAAAAGCTCTCACCTCATACTGTCCTTGTTCATGGTAGAGTTTCCCCAAATTATAAAGGCAGCTAGTAACCGAGCTCTTGTGAGCATGTGGATCTTTTAAATTTTCATCAGGAATTTCTGAACACTTCAGGAATGTCTTCCTGGCTTCGTCAGCCTTGCCTTGGTTCATTAAGATGATACCAGTATTTAAATAGGCAGCTGTGTGAGAGAAAAATAAAAAGATATCACACGTTCATATGAGATCCCACTATAGCCAGGCTTGCTTAAAACCATCAAAGCCATGATGACTACAGTTGCTAGTACTTTTTTTGTAAAACTAGACCGATCTTTACAATCCCCAACATGGTCCAATTCTTTATTGTCAAAACAATATGTTATAAAGGATGGGTGATGAACCTGCAGCCCTCCAGATGTTGCTGAACTTGTACCATCATGACTGGCAACGGTCATGTTATAGATTTAATGACTCTTGCCACAACCCACTCCCCTAGAGAAGATTATGTACGATAAAATGCCACATTCTACTACTGCAACAAGAAAAACATTTGAGCCCCAACAAGGTAGGCATGCGAGTCTGAAGAACAAACAAAGCTTCTGTCATAAAATTCAACAGGAATGGTAGCTATTCTCCAAATAAATAAGGAAGGCTGGTAATGAGCAACCTTTGCACGTAGGGGGGCTTAGGAGGTATTATGAAAAATACCTATGTGCAAGCAGAATCTCTCCCTTGCGGACAATTAATTCTTTACAGATAAAATGTATTTTTCAGCGCTCTTTTCCAAAAGTGGTATTTATACCACAGCATGAGAGAAAAGCATCTTTTAAAAACAAATGAACATGCAGCTTTACTTACAGGCTAAAGTAGGTCTACTTCCAATGGCCAATTTATAGTAATGTAGTGCTTCTGAAAGCCTGCTGTTCTCCTGTAGCAACAACCCTCTGCATTTAAAAGAAAAATGGAGGGGGGAAAGATAATTGTATAGAGAGCGAGAATTTAATTATAAAAAATAAAGTAACAAGAGACAAATTTATTGGTCTATATACTGGCAATGTACTGTAAAAGAAAAACGTTTAACAACAAGCAAGGAAAAAACTAAAAAGAGGTGAATTTCTAAGTACAAAAGCTGAAGCAGTTCACTAAAACATTTATATTTATATATGCAGAAAAAGGCCGTTTAAGGCAAGCACTTTTATAGCTGTTTATGTTATTTAGGATAATTTGTTCTGTTTAGCTCTCTTGATTAAAGAATCTGAATGCTAAGAAAATGGGATTTTATAAATATGCATTTTTGTAACCTCCAAAGCCTTGATGCAAAACCTCAAGATTTTTTTTAAAATGGTAACGCCATTTGTTGTGATGCAAATGATAGCCTATGTTTGCATGGGACTGGTCCTCCGCATGGTTGAATACTGTTATGAATAGTCAATAGCAATGTCTGCACACATCCTAGTAGTGTGTTTTTGGTTGGAAATGATTGAAGCTTTTGAAAACTGAATTATTTGTTCTTTCAAGAAAAAAATGGTATCAAACCCAGGGCTTTGTATTAAATACAACAAAACATCTGCTGAATGCTTTCAGGAAGTGGCTGTGTGGTACATCCAAATAACACAGAAAAGTTTGAGAGGGATGTCTTCTTAAACAGCACGTATCTTTCAGAAGAATGCATGCAGTCCACAAAGAGCAATCTTCTTGCTACAGAAACTGAACCCCACAAATTTTTGGTTCAGCTCCCACTTAAAATAAATTTCAGTGTTTGGAATTCCCATCAATGGCATATTAAATCTAGAGGGAGAATACTACAAAAGAACAAAAAGACAGCTGCACAGACTGGTAGTGTTCCTGCTGAAATGTTTTGAGAAATGTTTCTTTGTCAAGGAAATGTTTGGCTGCTGAAAACAAAGTTGAATACTGTGATGGCAGTACCAGTGATGGACAGAACATAGTGTCAATCTCCTGGATACTCTCAACCAATCATGGCTGGGATGGGAAACATTCAATCAGGAAGGAGAGAGGTTGGAAAAGGTTGGATTTGTAAGTATAACTGCAAGATAGGGCCTTGCTAGTGATTTGTTTAGTAGATTTAACCTGATAAATTCCTCAGGTAGAGGGAAAGGTAATAGAAAATGGCTAGAGTTGTTTCACAGGCAGGGTAAAGCAGATTGCTCCCTAGAATGGCTATCTACTATATAGTTCAGAAAGTAGCCTGACTGTCTCTCCATCTGCTCTCCATAGGTTCGGCTACCTCTTGAGATATCATCACCAAACCTAGCACGAGGGTTCCCAAGCTGGGAGCAGTGGTCATGGTCAATATTTGGATGCCAGTCATCATTTTGAACCAATATGGCAGACCAAAATGTCACTTTGGCATGACTTTCCCCATGGGGGGGTATGTTCAGCTGCCCCTCACTATATTATCAACAATCAGCCAATCAGAATCACACATACTTCATATAGGTATTGCTCTTTCTGAATCTGTGTACTGTAGATAATTTTATCCCTAGCCCACAACTCTCGGCGGGGGCAAGAGGGAGAGGGTGGAAGGCAGGCAGGCAATAATTTTATTTCGTTTTTTGAACACAAGGCATAGGACAGGAAAATAATTCTCCACAGTTTTCTGAGTTGAGTAGATAAGAGGGCAAAAAAGTTTTCTTTTTAGTAAAGCCCTTTATTTTTATTCATGTTATAGTAAAATTACTTTGATACATTCCAACAAAACTTGAAGAGTGTTACATGCTTATATCAGTCACATATAACAAAAAAAGATTGAGTGAGGACACTACTGTATTGAATAACTGAATCACTGAATACCAAAGGCTTCAATTCTCCATGGCATGGCCTCTCTATAAGCATGGCGAAGGTCTTACATTAATGCCAACTTCTATTTGCATGGATTTTTGGGGACCGTACATTAACAAATTGATTGTGTTGTATAGATGCTTGGAAGGAGTCAGATTCTGCACTTTCCCTTGCCATCCTCTCAGGGATGGTCTACTGGAATCTTTGCAATGGAAGGCAACATCTGAACAGGCAGCCCTTAGTTTTCCATTTACAATGGTTAGACATGGAAGAGTGTACACTAACAGAATGACACAAGCTAGTGCAGTGTTCATGTGTTGCACTAGGATCTCAGAGACCAGAGTTCAAATCCCCACTCAGAAATAAAGTGACATAGGGGTAATTGCTATAATTTTATTTTGGTGAATGATACATGCTGCCTGCAATCTTCTGTTCTCTTACGTGGAGTAAGTTACATGGAGCTCTTCATTTCATTGAACAGAGAAACTAGCCACAGAGTGGTTGGCTTAATATTACAACAGATCACTCACTAGTTGGCGGTTTTTCTTTTTATTATTTTATAGGATTGAGAGAGCACTGCTGAACAAAGATCTAAGTTTGTGTACACCACTGAGGATGGATGACTTGTAGCCAGCGGCTAAACAGTTAAATATAGTAACTCAAATAATAATAGATCCCAAGTTCAGGCCTGCTGCCCACAGCTGTTGTACTTTTTCCTCTCTCTCCTGGCGATAAGTCACTAGAATGATACTGTGCTAAGCCACAATGAAAGACAGAGACAAGAATAAAGCTCAAAAACTTTTTCTGGATAAAGATAGAAAATTGGATAACTATAGCAAAATTATATGATTGCATAGGATGCAAAATTGTAGTGATTATATTTGAAGAAGATGCAAGATATACGACTGGAAAAACTCCCTGAGAAAATGCAATACTTTCTCAGAGAGAAAATGAAGAAGAAAATCAGGTTTTTGCAACTGTCTGAATAAAGACAGGATAGTTATCAAAGACCTGGAAGGATACTGGCCTGTGGTCGATATATATGTGTTATATATTACATTCACAAACACCTGCATGCATGTTCCACAAAAATTATGCCTAAATCCTGAAATTTCCCCCCATCTTCTAAAATACATGGAGTCCACAGAAGGAGGACAAAGCATTTGTATGCTCTAGAAACGCTCCCAAACCCACCAATATTTCTTTGGCCTGTTCCTTTCTGTCTGTACTGGTGCCCAAATATTGGGTGAAATCCCAGAGAATTGGCATTCCTCCTTTGGTCTCTCAAAGTAAAACTGCACACCACTTTTCTTCCCTATTGTGCTACGCTGAAATAGTATGAGTAGGGGTGAAGGGATGTCTATCTGTAACTTTTCTCGTTACAGAAACAGTGACATAACATCGTCATGCAAAGGCTGTTGCACCACACTTGCAAGGAGCAAGATGAAGATGCATTTGCAGAGTTCTAAGAGAAAAGCAAACTGAGGTTGACTCTTAACAAGAAACAGAAGCTTTCAATCTCATCTTGCAGTATGAAAAGGAGAGGGGAAGCCACAAGATTCATGCAAGAACAACAAACAGTGGTCTGTTATTATGTCTGAACCATGCCATTGTAGTGGCCTTCTCTTCATCCATAACAATCACAAAGTTTGAGACAAAGCAGTGATGGGCACACTGAAAATAAGGTAGATGTAGAACAACGCTTCAGTCACAACACGTCACAACTTTGGGATACTAAAGCAAGCACAGAGGTTGAATTAATTTTCCGGTTGCTCTCTGCTTTGCCTATACAGTTACTCTTTGATATATTCGCTCCATAATCCCCTTGTTTTGGAAAGTCTCTATTGTTATGAACTTTAGATTAGATGCTTGCACATACTGAAACAATTAACTATTGTTTTTGTAGTGCTCCGAATATAGCATCACTTTTGTATTATGTTTATGCCACTTGGATATTCTGCTCTCTTCATTAGAGGACCTCAGAACTAATTTTCTGCTTTTATTAGCAGCTTTAATATTGGCATCCACTGAGGCAATACAGATTTATTTTTCCCTTCTGTTTCAGAATACAGACTGTTTTACAGCTGTTTTACTAGCTATTTAAAATTCATATAGATGCAAAATGAAGAGCAGATGCAAGAGTGAATATTGAATTCTGGTAAATAATTAGCCATGCTTAATACTGTTTATAAACTTTGGTGGAACATAGTCTTGCACATGACCTAGAGATTCTTCATCAGGCAAAAATAAGGAAATAAAAATCTTTTTCCAAAAGTGAAATTGCCTCTGGATGGGTGTTTGATACCCTATCCCTTTTGCTGTAGTGTCCAAAAGAAAATGTTGAGTGGGCTTCTGCAGTTTTATTTCCACCTTTAAAAGGAAAATATCTAATGAAGACACATATATTATGCACACACAAAGGAAGAGAGAAGAATCATAAAATTTTACAATTGGGAGCAACTTTGGAAGTAATCTTGTTCAATCTTAGAACCACACTGCTCAATTAGGAAATACAATACAGGATGCATTTGTAGCATTTTACTCTGTCAGATGACTATCTAGCCACCAGCGAAGAAGAGTCATCACTTTTTGACATTTTCTGTTCCATCGTCCTACAGTTTTCACCCTTAAGAAGGTTCTCCTAATGCTAGGTAACTTCTTAAGGTTAAAAACTGTTTGACGATGGAACAGAAAATGTCTCTGTGATACTGGAAGACAGGCATCAAATCTCCCCTTAATCTTCTATATCCAGTTCTTTCAACCATTTGTCACACAACTTGGTTTCCAGACCCCTCACAGTCCTGGTTGAGCCTCTGGATCCACTCTACTGTATCAATGTCCTTCTTAAACTGTAATTCCAGAAACTGGCAACTTTGTGAAAGCAAAAAAGTACAGTCGTACATCGGTTCTCATATGCCCCGGAACTCATAAGTTTCAGCTCCCCGACGATCGAAAACCAGAAGTGAGTGTTCCGGTTTATGAACATTCTTTTGGAAGCCGAACATACAACGGGGCTTCAGCGGCTTCTGATTGGCTGCAGGATGCTCCTGTAGCCAATCAGAAGCCATGCTTTGGAAGTCGAACAGACTTCTGGTACGGATTCTGTTCGACTTCCAAGGTACGACTGTAGCAGCATTTATGG